ATATCTCTAACGATTTGATGCCCAAATATCCCCCTATTTATATACTTTTCCTAAATTTTACAAGAACTTTTTTGTAATTAGTATAAAGGATTTTACACGGGAATAGTACCTGTGGGTCGTAAAATTGTTTATTAAAATTATAAAACGCGTTATATGAATAAAATATTTTCATGTAACGGAGTTATTCCCTCTGGTCTGCACACTGGACTGAAATAGCACCAACCATCAACAAATATATCGAAAAGTATTTCCATTTCGAAGTTATTGAGTACGAAACTGTTTTCACGTGATGGCCTGAGTACTGTGGTAATGTTGGAAGTTTTGTGTCATTAATTTCTGTTTAATTAAAAAGGAACCAAAAATAGCAATACAAATTTCACTGTGAATTTCATTTCAGTCTTACTGTAACAAATGCATGCCAAAAAGACTACAGTCTCGACAAAATAATGTTTTTCTGTATGTTATTAAGTTATAATGAATTGCCGTTGTAAATGATACAAAAATACCCTTTATTTGTTGGAATACACCCAAAAGATACCAGGGCAATTGAACGATCTGCATGCAACTAATACATCGTTTAAGAAAACGATTTCAAAAAGCTTTTATTATATTATATACAAGCAAGAAATTTAAATTTATAGATATGTATTAAAAAACAGGCATGGGAGCATTGTTTGCTGACGTTGCAGATATTGAGAACTGTGTCCTACTTAAATAGCAATAAATAAATTAAGCCTGCCTGACTGTCTAATACACAAATAGGATAATGAAAAATAACTTATTTTTGTTCAGACTTGACCAGCTTATGCAGCATTAAAGACGTCTCTGCATTCAAGTGAGCGTAAACGTAAACTAGCATTTTTAATCAACAAATAAATATTGTTCATTATAATGAAAATATCGCTGGACGACCACAGCCTATATCTAGGGGCGAATTTTGACTACTCACTTTTAAATAGATCGCTTTTCATTAGACGTTTTAATCGTCAGCTAATTCCAAAATGTCCTATCATTTGCTATCTCAACTACACCTTTTTCTATTACATTTATATACTTACACTAATAGAACATTAGGTTAGAAATGAAGAGGTATTATAAAGAATAGGAGAACAGAGGACTCTATGGAAGTAAATAAAAAGTAGGCGAGATTGGTAGGACACCTTCTCAGGCATGAAGGTCTAGTCAGAGACATATTAGAGACAGAAAAGGGAGTTAGGAGGGGTAGAGGTAGACCTAGATTAGGTTACTGTTCGCAAATAGTTAAGGATGTGGGATGTTCTAGTTTTGGAGAAATGCGAAGATTAGCTCAGGATAGGAAAGAGTGGAGGTGCGTGTCCAACCAGTCTTAGGACTGACGACCTTATTATGATGATGAATAAAACATTAGCATATTACCACATTTTTGTGTATGATGATAAAAACAAGAAACAACCTCGCTTGTACCTAGAGGTATTATAGGTATTATGTAGGTGAAATGAACTAAAGGTCCTGTTAGCATAGGTCATAATTGAACCCTGAAGATCCTTTGGGCTTTCAGTTAACAGTTCTTGTGTCGATAGCACCAAAGAAAATCAGTTTATATTAATGTCTAATGTAAAGTCTTTCGAATCACACGTTTTATAACTATGTTTCATTTCAATGGTTTTAAGATATATTGACCCCGATTTTTCCATATTTTAATTAATAGATTATAGATTATTACATGCAAAAAGTCACACCGAGAAATGCACCAAAAATTTTTCATATAACAAATTCGTTGTTTGCGTTGTTGATATACAAACAAAAGTCCATTACATTTCAAACTTTCTAACAAAATTTTAACCTTTACAATGACGATCTAAAAGTTTAATTGTATTATCAGGGTTCATCTCAAAAGTCGTGAGTTCGCAGTCCCCGTTGTCTTAATAAATGGATATTTTAGATAGGCATGCAAATGTCTAATTAAAAAATGAATTGTGTGCGGTACTTACTCTTTATGCTATGTAATCGCCGCGTAATAACAAAAGAATATAGGTAGATAGGTTTATTTTTACAATCGCGAGTTCCAAATAAGTACGACGGAAGTGGAACGGTCGTGTCACGAAATTAACAGAAATTCTAATTGTGTCGTGTCAGATGGCAAAGGATAAGCACGAGCCAAGTGAAATGTTCGTATTCTGTTATGCCAAACGCCACACTTCATCATTCCTGAACAAACTGCCTACGCACCTTATGAATACCGACACTCTTTTCTTTTTATAAGCTCCGAACAGGCATATCGTTCAATTAAATGAATTAGACCGGTGACCAAGATTTGTCAAATGAGGGGGAGGGTTAAGGTAAAAAGTCCTCATTATCATTAATAAAATAGAAGTGTCTGTGATCACATGTCAATCTTCAAAATGGCTGAATTAATTTCGACGAGACTTTACAGATATGAAAAGGAGGTTGTAAGGAATAACCTGGGATTAAAGTCCCAAAGGTCCCCCGAGACTACGCCACTGGAATAGACCGAAGTAGATAGGCTATGACAGTTCGACCTCAAAATCCCATGTATTTTGTATTTTTTCGACCGTTTTACCCCCTCCACTCGTACTCTAACGTCAGGGCCGTCAACCATCTTTGACAGCTATCAAAGATGGTTCACGATGGCGGCTGTCAAAGATGACCGGCGATGACAGATGTCAAAGATGACCGGCAATGACAGATGTCAAAGATGGCCGGCGATGACAGCTGTCAAAGATGGTTGACGACCCTGACGTCGAAGTACGAGTGGAGGGGGTAAAATGATCGAAAAAGGACGAAAATGAACCTTCATAAGAAAATACATGGGATTTTGAGGCCGAACTGTCATAGCCTATCTACTGACCGAATGTTAAAGTAAAAGACGAAGGCGGTTGGACTATAAAATTTGTCAAGGGGTATACATTAGAAAATTAAATACCTCCCCATTAAAAATAACTAAAATAGTTTAAAAATATCATCTACAATTATTTCCGTATTCCTCGCTAAAGCTTACCAATAAACTGACCGACTTACTCAGAAATCGTTCAGGTAACGATACTTATTTCGTTTCGCTAATAGATTAAATGCTTCTTCAAGGAATTGAATGGTTAATAAAGCAATCTTCTTATAGGTACATAAAACATAACGACCAGCGATTGTAAATTTCAATCGAAATTATGAAATGTAATCAATTGTTAGTTGTATGATGTGTAAGAAGCTTGTTTGTACGTCTCCCACATTATCATTAATTCAATTACCTTAACGTACGAGTAAAACGTTGACTTATTGAAAATTCCTAAATAGGTACTTAAACCACTACAATTAGAAAGTTGTAGCAGTCTAAATAATCACGGTTAAGTAATAGCTACCTGGGTACCTACATAAAATAGTTCTTTTTACTGCTAATAAAAACTATTACCTATGCATAATCATTGAATACATATGCAATAGGGGTATACATAATAACGCAAAAGATAAAAAATTGGGTTGCTTTACAGGATGTTACAGCTCCTGGCAGAAATGGGGTAATTCCCAACTCGTTGAAATTGGCATGGCAAAATTAGCAGCCAAAAATATAAACCATGGAATAATTAACCGCAAATTAACTATTATGTCAAAAACTAGCTTGGAAACTCGAAAATTAGTTTGCATGCTAACTTATTGTTTTTGAAGTTGACATAGGAAATCAGCAGGCAAAAATATGAACTATGGGATCATTATCCGCAAGTTAACCGTGAAAGCCAAAAATTAGCAGGGAAATCCGAAAACCAGTTTATTTGAAGCATGCGGAAATTGTAAAATCGGTTAGGTTAGGAAAATTCTAGATAGGCTAGGCTCATAATTAGCCATTAATTAACCGCTGACATTGTAGACTACTAACGGTTGCGATTTTTTTTTCAAAATTTTTTGATCTAAACGGCCTCACAACTGCTTTAATAATAGTAAGTAGGTATTCTAAATCGGGGTTGAAGCTTCCTGAAAATCTTTCGCAAATAACATACCAATAGGTTTAATCCTGGAAAACCCAGAAACCAATTTACATGCCAACTTCAAACGAAGTTTTTTCGCTTGTCAAATTTTCACAGCAAGTTTCAAGCTCGATTTAGAGTGTCTCATTCGATACTGTAACGGTTGTCGAGCCATATAGATCGAATAATGACGCTATTTTGCGAAAAAGTATCGAACCCTCTGGTTAGTATCTAATCTACAATGTCAACGGTAAATTAGCTGCTAATTATGAGATCGGTTCGTTTGAAGTTGGCATGTAAATTGGTTTTGGGTTTCCCTGGTCGCGGCTAATTTTTTGCTTCAATGGTTAATTTGCGGCTAACTATCCTAGAGTTTATATTTTTTCCTGCTAATTTTGTTATGCCAAAAAATGTAATTCGTTTAATAGCCGTTTGGCATAAGCTGTATAAATACATTCTCTCTTGAAGGTTGGGAAGGTTGCTCTGATTAATTTAAGACAGGATAACCTTCCCAATCTGTGGCCTAAACTCCAATACCTTAATAAAACAAATTAAAAAATGCTGAACACGTATTAACCGGTTCCATCACGTGAATTGGCTCATTTTTGGTACCTATTCATTGTAACACCCCTAGAAATCTGTTCAATTATTTATTTTTTTATAATATATTCCGTATTATATAATTAACATGCCAATTAAAAATAGCTAATGAGAAATTATTCCCATTAAAATAAAAAATGTAAAAATATTGTATAATATGATTACTCAACAGTGAAATTCAATTAAAGAATAGCAGAGCTATAAATGGCACTGTTCCGGCATGCCTAAGTAAATACCTAGCTTTGCAGGTGCAGACCTGCCTGCACTCATGCGCATCTTTTATAGTCGTAACTCTTTATTTCATAGAATGAAATGTAGGTAAATAATTAATTCCTTAGTTTATAAAGGGCCATAAAAATTGAATGACGACCAGGATTATTAATTAATATTATCATACTTTTCTACAGAAATATAGGTATAAATGCATAAATCAGTTTTTTCTCTTACCTTGCTGTACAGACATAACCTGCGGTTGATTCTTCTAATCATTCACTTTTTATACGATCAATTTATACGGTGAGACGATTTCTACCTACGACGAATTAAACGATACAACTAATAATCAAATACTACAATAATTAAGCATTATTAAATAACCGCAATACTATCAGAATTAACCAATAACCGGCCGAAATACACGCTTACCCGTTTTGTGATGAGTTGCTTGATTCCGAACATTAAAGAGAACAGAACCAGCGTCGCGAAAGTTCCCTCTGTAGTAGAATAGCGACATGCGGACTATCACTGTTACTTTTTAAATCTGCAATAAAAGAGCGGCAACATAATAAGTATAAATTTACTTCTTAGTTTAAAAGAAAACTTATTACTCAAATAAACAATTAAATGTTATTGTCTTGATTAAACACTTAAATACGAAAATTAACTTTTGTCTTGCGTTAAAAAAACGTAGTTATTTAGGTATTAACTATTTATTTGAAAGCTAGGCGCGCACTTATTGAAGTTTGAAACAATTTTTTTATTTACATTTGCTCCCAAATTGATATCTTTTTCGAATCGATTAAAGGTAAAATCGATTATGAAGTGTAGCCAATTGAAATAAAATAAAAAAACCATTGAATACGTAAATTAATTATTCTGATTAGCAAAGCTGATACAAATATACTGTATCTGTTATAAATCATCACCCACGATCGGTCAGAATTGTATAATATTTTTTATTAATGCACTGTATGTATTTTTGTTGTAAATCATTAATGATAGACAACAATCGAAATAATTCATAATATATTTATTTCATTATTGCAAGGAGTGTCTTATTGATTAGAATAATTTGTCAATTTGAATTGAAGTAAGTACCTAGTCAGGCTGAGACATTAGACAAGTTATTTAAATAAATGTTTTATAGTATGTACTTAGGTACATTAGAGTGTCGTAAAAAACCGAATATCTGTGGGGTTTAAAATTTGGAAAAGAAGAAAAATTAAAATGCTTTTTTTCTTAAGCTTTAGTAGCAAAACTTCACCTCATTAAAACCTGTACTGAAAATCTTGAACCTTTACTGGAAGTTTCTAGATTTTGTAGAAAGAAAAGAAGAAAATTTTATGAAATTATTGGTTTTGCTTGGATTAAAACTTAATTCATTTGATTTTTCATTTTATCCCTGAGACTGATCTGAAACAGGGAAAATTCAGAAAACCAAAAATTATATTTCTCCTAAATATTTACCTACCAGAACGAAGTAGTAATTATTACCATGAAATTTCAGTCTCGAACTGAAATAATGAAATACTGAAATATAGATCAAATATTATACCGATAGATTTTCCCGGGGAAGTGTATCGAGTTACCTAGGGGAATTCCCGAAATATTTTTCGATAACTAAAAATTACAAAAACCAACGAAAAAACCAGATTTTTTGTTAGAAATGTAAATAGTTCAACTTATGTAATAAGTTGTGTGCAAAATTTGTGGGTTGAGGATTTCTTTTGTTTTGTACCATATTTTTGAATATTATATTATGAGATGTTTGGAAATAGCGACATACGGTTATAACGAAGTCCTCATAAGTCCTCTTCAACGTCATCATAAACGATATCTATAATAATACTGTCTCTAGGCAATCTTTTGTTGGTTTTCTTTTGCTGTGAATCATAAAATAATTCTGATAAAGGTGATAATTAATACATATGTGCTTTAAATTATAATTTATAATAAACCTCGACCACTTGGTTAATAACAAATAACAACGAGCTTGCTGGGTTCGTGAGTTGTTGGCCATAGTCACCGTCGACGAGCGGCACTGTGACTCCAACAGAAGGTCAACAGCGTGCGAACAATGCCCCGTCAAGGTCGTTTGTGCGGTCACATGGTACGTGTACCTGGTGCATGTTTATTACTTATGCATGCATGTCCATGAAGAGGGCATACCGTGCGGTACTTCCCGATCCACAAGAATCAACTAGCTGCTGCATTGTTACAAAGCACTTATGCATGCATATATGTATATGTATTTAACTAATAGGTAACAGTTGTTACCCCCTGTGAATTAGAAAAACCTAGAAGTCGTCGAAAAAAGATTGCCTACTAGGAAGGGTGTGAAACGTGGACGGTGGGAGCGACGCAGCGTGGCGAAAGAAAATGGATATGATGGATCAAAGAAAAAAATATATTCCAAAAAGTTAATCAGAAATGGATTTCGGTCACTCGGTGAAGTGCTTATGTCTTTCCGCCTCTTCTCCAGTCCAACCTCAGACGGTAGACAGGAAAATTCCCCACCTAAGCCCCCTTAGTATGATGGAAGTCCCAAAATTAATCGACCTGACAAAGAAAACACAAAAAAAATAGCATATACTTTATTTCTCAACATGGTCTCCATTTAATTTAATACATTTCTCAGCGGTATTGAAAAGCTTAGATGCTGTATTTATAGTAAGAAACGACGAACCCTCAAAATAGCCATCTTAGCCTTTTCATCGTTGGCAAATCTCTTACCATCGAGTCATTTCTTCAAGTTCGGAAAGAGAAAGTCTGCAGGGGCTAAATGTGGGGAATAGGGTGCATGAGGAAGTAATTCGTATTTGATCATTGATTTTGGCCATAACGGATGTATGACACATTTTCGTAGTGGAACAAGACTTTCTTTCTTGTTAGATGCAGCTTTTGTTCCATAATTTCATCACTCAAACGCTGCAGTTAGTTCACATTATACTCGCCGTTGATGGTTTTGCCTTTTTCAAGATAATCAATGAAAATTATACTATGCGCATCGTAAAAAAACTGAAGTTATAACCTTGCCTGCAGATAGAAACGTCTTTACCTTCTTTGGAGCCGATTCACCCTTTTTAGTCCATTATTTTGACTGTTCCTTGTAGAGATGGAAACTTGAAACTTATCGTTAATCTTACCAAGGTTGGTACTGTCTACCACAGTCGTTATATTTTAATAACTATTGCCATCTATATGTGAAACCGATTAATTCTGGGACTACTCCTTTAGCAACTTCCATCACTGATCAGATGTACAAGGAGTAAATCCCTCTCCCAGACGGATTACTTGCACTCTGGCACTCGGGTTTATGGGATCGCCACCTTCCTCTGACCTTTGACATTTATGTCGGCCGGGCTACCTCTGCCCTTTCGTTGAGTGTAACAGGCGAGGCCAGTTCTGCGAAGTTCTCCATCACACATCTCCTACTATCAAGATTCCGATCATTTCCCCTGTTTAGTGATATCGTCATGTACCTGCATGGTGTTCCTCGGAATTCGATAGTAATCTCAAGCACCCCATAAATTTTTATTATATTCAAACATTGTGTATAACATTTTCAACTATTTATACGATATCACCCTCTAAACTTGCAAAATGTGCCAGTTTACGTGGTACGTAATAGCCACAGCTGCAAAATAGAAACCGCAAAATGTTCGACTAAACTTTGATGCCATTCAGCACTAGTTACGCATACTTGAACGGTTAATACCGTTGAACAAAACGAACAAAACGTCCTTCCAGAGGAGGATGTGCCACTTCTTCGGCACGATTTTCTCTAAATTTTACCGACATTAATCGACTAACAAAACCAATCGACATGCCAGTCATATTTGTCCGAGATTGGTATGCGGCCTTGCCAATTAGCAAAAGTAATGCGGGCAAACATTAAGGAAGTAAAGCCGCTTTGCGATTGGCTTAAAGCAAACGACGATATTCTCTAATTGAACCTTTAATACGCTGTAATAATTTAACTGTACGTACACAACTATGTAATCAATATATCAATATGTATGTTATTAGAAAGCGTAATTTGTTTGTATATGCCATTAAAGCTCCTCGACCGAATCCCGCAGCTTCATGAGGGTTACATGGTTTCATAGCCTTTCATCCCCCGTTGGTTTCAAATTTGGTGACAACGTTGGTTTTAAAGATATGCGGGTTAAAAAACAATCGCCTCAAAGGCCTTCAGTAGTGGAGGTGGTAATTGAGTTTCCACGTCAGAACGTTATAGAATGCCCCACATCTGCAGGGTTTGACAATGTTTTAGAATTTTTTAGAAGGCTCGAGAACGTTTCCACATGATAACTAATTTTTCCGACTGGTCAAAAATTAAACATCCACTGTTTTAAGAATAGGAAAACAGAGGACTCTATGGAAGTCAATAAAAAATAGGCGAGATAGATTTTGGTAGGACACCATCTCAGGCATGAAGGTCTAGTCAGAGACATATTAGAGGCAGAAACAGGAGTTAGGAGGGGTAGAGGTAGACCTAGATTAGATTACTGTTCGCAAATAGTTAAGGATGTGGGATGTTCTAGTTTTGGGGAAATGCGAAGTTTAGCTCAGGATAGGAAAAAGTGGAGGTACGTGTCCAACCAGTCTTAGGACTGACGACCCTATGATGATGATGATGATGATGTTTTTAAGCCTGTGAATGCTTCAGATTCATTTAATATGATGGAAGAAAATAGTTTTATGAGTTTCAAAATTATTGTTGTTGCTTACGACCGTTTCGCCATACCGTGACTTCATCATGTGGATTTATTTGTAATTGTGTTTCATACACCGAATGAAGCCAAAGTGTAACGATACGGTAGTAGTGGACAATAAAAATGTTTTTAAAAATAATAACAGGCTTTTGTTCTACAACAACGATTCAACATTTCATTTAACAATTCATAATACTAACCAATTGAAAATTAATTATCTTTGCCATTACTTTCAGTAACGTCTCTCAAAGTTCCAAGAAACAAGAAACTGATGTTAATTAATTTAGTATGAGCTCTCCCACGTCCGTAAATAGTGAACGAATGTCCTTCTAGTGCATTCTTCGTGACTATATTATAAATAAACGAAATCGGCCAGAAATAAAACCCACTCGTTGCACTCAGCAAAACAGTCAACTTCTTTTCACCGCACCATTTACGTCAGCTACGCTTTTTCTTCGTCTTCTTCCGAAAAGTTGTTGGGTTTCTTACCCGAAGTGTTACAAAATATAATGTCAATTGAAAGCAGGAAGCTGAAGAACCTCATTCGAATTCTCCCATCGTATATAATTTTATTCGAGACACGCGTTTTTTCTACTTGTTTTATCCAACTTATCAATTTATTAATTTCACAATAGTGATTCCAAATGGCATCATAAATTTTACATTTACATGCTTCAGAAACGAAAATTAAATCGAAAATTGTTGCCCACTAAAGAATATAGAGAAACACAATAACGGTTTACATAATTAAAATTAAATTGAATGGTTTCTAATCATATCTCACAATCTCACATTCAAATCGATCGAAAAACACTTGTCTCTGTGTGTATAATGGAATGCCAATGTTTAAAAATTGGTATAATCCCCATGATCATCTGACCTTATGAAAGGCAATGTGAATTGGTGCGCTTTGGTCTTTAATCCCTGTTTTGTTGATCTGATGGCATGATGTTGACCTTCTTGGCCATAAACCGTTTTATCGGCGGATTCACCTCCTCGGTCTAATTCTCCCAATTCTCCAACTTTTTTTCAAGTGAATGGACGAGTGTCTACGTGCCTGAGTTTGGACTTTGATCTTCATTATTCAACTGTGGCGTTTCGTTGTTTACATGCACTTTATCAGTTACCCATCAAAGAGAGCCTTGTTTCTCTCTCTATTTAGTGTTATTTGATCTCATACTATGATTACAAACGAATAAGTTATCTGACTTTGAAATCGTTCACTTATTTTATCTGTCACCTTAGTATATCACTTTACCAAAATATAAAACGTGTTTAAATGCTATTAAAGCTTTTTTTGTGGTATTTGCGCATTTAAACACCGCATTAAAAGATTTTTGGATTTTTTTCTTAACTTGGACAATATGACGACTTCTTACTTGCTTAACTGCAAGATTAATGGTATCATCACATCAACAAAACTCTTGACTAAAAGGAAAATATTAGTCAAAAGTTTACCAAACTTAAAGACAGTTTTTCGATCGATATTGTATCATTAGATGTGGGAAATGATTAGAAACCAACGTATCATTGAACGGTCTCGAAAATTGAAGGTCAAGGCCGATTTACTTATACAAACTCTCCTCCAGTCACTTGAAAAAGTTGGGCAATTGGGCCGATGAGATTGATGAGGTGAATCCACTGACACAACGGTTTAGAGCGATGGAACTCAATGTGAGTTAGTCAACTCTAATCCATCATCACACTAACAAAACTCTTGACAAGAAGGAAAATATAAGTCAAAAGTTCACCAAACTCAAACAATTTCTCGATCGATATTGTATCATTGGATGTGGGAAATGTTTAGAAACCAAACATATCATTAAACTTTGAAGTCCTCCATTTATTCTCTTTGAATAAAAATGAAAATCTGGTTCCTAAGTGAGCCAAGAAAGCCTCAGAAGAACTTGAACTAGAGCAAACTGACCCGGAATCGATCCGATGTCCTCCCGAATGCTGTGCAATGGTCCAAAGCTCTAGGCCATGCCATTCTGTACCATCCTGTATGTAAGAACGTGTCATGGCACTTCCCGTGAAAATTACACTAGTGCAAATATTTCGCCGTTCCGGATAGTTTTGCTCATAACTAAAAATAGTTGGAACGCACTATAATATTAACAAGCAGTCAATGGCCGTATGGTACACATACACAGATATGCAAACGCACACATGTACCGTACATCTGCCTACACTTATTCACGCATACCTACGTACCAATACGCTATGATGTGCGTTAGAAATTTCTGGTTGGCTCAACAATCGGTACAAAACTGCTTTTCTTTTAAAAAACGCGGTCGTTGTTCCCGTTTTATAGTTAGTGTTGTGGTATTGTAGCGAAAGAGTAAGATGTTGATGCGATGCATTACTTTGCACACACACCTACAGTATGTAATCGTAAAAAAAGTATTACGGGCGTCAAACTAGAAAAAAGAAAAACATAAATGTTCGAATCTGGGTTTATACTGTTTGCAAGTAGTTAAAACGGAATTCTCAAACATTTACAAAAGAAAACGATATTAGAAACAAGCCTCAGAAGCTCAGGTCAAAATAAATTGATTTTGAAACTACGTCGAACAAGAAATCTCAGTAATATTTATTTAATTCGGTTTAAGGATTAAAAAGGGTACTTCTTAGCGTTATTTTTTATAATTAGAGATAGATTTCTGTTAAAATTTCAGCATAGTAGTTGCTTGTGTGGTAGTTGACACCAAGAAGAAATATAACAGATTTCGTCCATACCGAAACTATTGGGTGTTATATGTAAGGAAAGATAGGAGATGAAAAATTAGAAGAAGTGACTGATTTTTGGTATCTAGGAAGTCAGATAGGTCAAGACGGATGGACTAGGAGGGATATAAAGCAGAGGATACCGCAGGGTCGAGTCGCCTTCAATTAAAAGAAGTCACTTCTATGCTTCTGGACGGTTAATGTAGAAATTCGAAAAATATTGTTAAAGGTGTATGTTTGGAGCGCGGCGCTGTACAGGTGCGAAACATAGACGGTGGGCACGGCGGAAAAGAAAAGGTTAGAAGCGTTTGAAATGTGGTGTAACAGACAGAGAAGGTTAGAAATGAAGAGGTATTCAAAAAATAGGAGAACAAAGGACTCTATGGAAGTCAATAAGAAATAAGCGAGATAGGTTGGTAGGACACCTTCTCAGACATGAAGGTCTGGTCAGAGACATATTAGAGGCAGAAACGGGAGTTAGGAGGGGTAGAGGAAGACCTAGATTAGATTACTGTTCATAAATAGTTAAAGATGTGGGATGTTCTAGTTTCAGGGAATTGCGAAGATATTTAGTACTACTATGCAAATTGGTTACATAAAATTCCTAGCTGCGATTGTTTATTTAGGATGATTAAATTCTAATAAGAGTGATTTATGTTGTTTATTTCAATAACAAAAACTGCCGAGTTTTGTTTTCGGTACATTCTTTGGATAACCTCTGATAGGTCAGCGCTGATAAAATTGCTATTTAGCAGAAATCCAATTCTGAGATATAATCTGAATACGGAAATCATTTTTATTGAAATTAATCAAAGGAGGTTTCGCTGATTTGTTACAAATTTTAAAATAAATATGAAAGAGTAATCACGTGTTGTATGACTTTGTGCCACTGGTAACAACTGAAAATTTCTCATTTGGATGTATTCTGGCGGTTTAAGAAAATATTGATCTAATCATTCTTTCAGCAAAAACGATTACTTTTTGTAATCAATCTTATTCGCTTAACCAGTGATTACCAAACAATTCATTGTGACCTAATCGTTTATCAGTTTACATGGCATGCGATGATGAAGAAAAAATTAATTATGTTAATGATTAACGGAATGAATGTAGTAGTATTGTAAGCAAACAATTGCAGTAATAAAAAGTCTTATCATTAATTGATAATATCCATTTTAACGTTGCATGACGAATATGGACCATAAAATGGCACCTACATGAAGGTAAAAGGATATCTATGGGAAATTTTCCAGTTAAAGCGGTACTCAAACCAAAAACGTCATATACACACACACAAATCTGTTAACCAAAAACAATTTTTAATATAAAAGTTGATTTAATTGCATATACTAATCTGATTTGAAAAATAAATTTCGATTTACGCATATCCTTTTCAAGAGGACTCTGTATATTATTTCTCTAGTCAATGGTATAAAAACAAATATAACTAGATATGATGAATTCGTTTGTCTTAGATTTTGAATGTAAAATACTCTTATACATATATTGTCACTAGTCTGACTATTTTTTGGCAATTTAATAAACAAATACCTTTCTGATAGGTAGCGCCTTAGCAGGTTTTCTTATTCCCGTGAGTGCTAAAAAGGGGACAGGCACCTGTTAGATGTCATAGATGTTACTTGCATAGTTGGACACTTGCCAGACTGTCAATTTAGGAGACGGTTGTAAGCGGTCCTTTGAACGGTAAACACATATCTATCAAAAAACTGCATTTACAATTCAGTATGTTTATAGTTAATGATTTTTTTAAACAAAATTATAAATGTACTCGAATTGAAAACCAAAACAAAAAATATCGGGTGACTAGAGAATATATATTAGACATTACATGGTAATAATAGCATTCAAAAACTTAGTCTGGACCTTACAAACTACAATAAGTTATGATATGAATTAGACGAACTTCAGTAGGGGATAGACAGCACTTGCGGCCCCTGAGTATCGAGGCATTTTACCCAGTTCTGATATTGAGAAAATTCTATTTGGAATTCTGAATACTTATATACTTATAATAATCTTAAACTGGTCGAAGAGAAGACCATTACATTCTTATTATCTGTACCGTCGTACCGTGTGCCAATGATGGACCTGGGCGAATAATTATTATTACAAGTGTGTGTTTTTCTTTTTTCTCTCTGGTACCCGGTCGGATCTTGAAAAAAGTGCCGAATCCGCCGGATACCGAGTCCAAACCGGATACCCGGTCCATCTCTAAAAACAGTATTGTGTTGTTTCCTTTCTAATATTTCCATTTTCTTTTAAGGTCCGGTAACAGTTCCTATGGTCTCAACGAATCCGTCGCCGCCAATCGCCATGCCAGTGCAGGTACCTCCGGGACATGTAGTGCAACAAATAGTTGACGAAAGTGGAACTCTTCGTCATGTGATTCTCTCTCCCCAACATCCCACGGGCGTAGCGTTGCCCATGGGTGGCCATAACCCCCAGCACTATGTAAGTTTTTCTTTTTACTTTCATTGATTGCAAATTTACCCAGTAGTCTTGCCGATTTTAACTCCAATATCTTCCTGAGGATCATTTTATGGGGTGGTTATGATAATTGTGATAAATAATATTTAATCATTGTAGTTTAAGGCCCTGGGCTTGAATTTATTAAAAAAATAGGGCTCCTTGTAGGGCTTACAATACCGAACTAAAATCTGAATATCGGTATTTGATATTTGAAATTTGAAATATCGGGATACCAGTATTAAAACCGGTATTATTAATAAAAAATTTACTAGTTGTATTTTTACTTACCTCAGTTGTTATATTGACTTGTTAACAAATAATATATGAAATCCAATAAATATTGTTCTGAAATGAGTAGATATTATTTATTTTATTACATAGAGAGTAGGAGTAAATAGATACAAAAAAAAGTACATATTAAATTTTATGTTACATTTTACATATAATAGGCTCGTATTGTATTATATAATCAAAGAAGCAAAAAATATAATTAAATTGAAAGTACTTATGAAATAATATTAATGACTTGCGTTTTGTTTATTAAAGTATGCTCTTAAAAAACATAAACAATCAATCGTTTCATAATCAAGCGAGGTCCGAATTTTCCTACAAATATAACCCCGAAAAAGCTCTTTCTGATTCTACACTTGTCGGCACTATTCTCATTAAGAAATCATATACATTTTGTAAATACGTTCCTTTTGTTCCTGTTTTTTCAAAACAAAGTAATTTCATCTTTTATTTATCATAATTGCCGACCCGCCGCTTCTCGATGGTGCCATACTCGGCTCGGTATGTGTAATAAATGTGCCTGATATTTTAAATTAGATTTGTATTGTGCATAAATTCAATTTTTATCAACTAATGTAATACCAAAATACCGGTATTTTTACATAAATACCGGTTTTTAATAACGGACAAAAATCGTCCGGGATTCCGGTATTCGGTATCCTGGAATCCCGGTATTGTAAGCCCTAGCTCCATGTAATAGCTTGCCCCTGACCACTTTAGAGCATGATCTGATCTTAAAAAAAAACTGGATTCAAGGTAATTATTAATTAAATTCCAGCATATCTTCAGTCGCTTTGACTTATAAAAACAATTTATCGAAATTGTATAGGTACATAAAAAGATTCAAAATTCGGACAGTTGTGCAGTCCCGTTTTTGTTCCGTAAGAGTAACGTGGATGAGAGTCAGGGCCTCTATTCACTTAATCCCTGTGAGTTTATGTGGTCATGTTTATACTATTAGACATTTCTTTTTTATTTGCAATAGATAGGAAACGTAATATAACATTCCACCTGTATACAAAATACAATGTGGTGTAGAATTCAGCGCGTGTCGTTGTTTTCCTGCTAAGCGACCGAATTCTTTTCCATAGATAGTTAGTTTTTATCTTTGTAAATATTACTTTCACCTATGGAATGCGTTTGAAAAAGTTGTTTTCTTCCTATCGCCCGACAAATGGCTTATCCTCGTGCTCGTTAGTGCGTAACAAAACTGCCTGCTGGATTGACATATAGCTTTTTGTTATCGACCGTAAATTTCCCACAGCTTCACTTCTACTACGCGGAGCACGCTAATTAGGTGCTGCGGTCACGTTTATTACGATTTGTGAACACCAGTTCTGTTCCAATTCTTTCCTCCCACACTTCTCATCTTATTTAAGTAATACAGTGCAATCGCGATAGCATGAACTCGAAAAACAACTGTTTACGTTATCGAATGTTGTATTTAATGTCCTAATAAGCATATGTAATTATTAAAAGTCTAATACATACACATTTATAAATGTCAACAAAGGTTGAGTGAATTCCAAATCGTTTTTTATTACGTTACACTCATCCTGTTTCGTCACCTGGTCCTTTGAGCCGGATGAGTTGCAAAATCCGGAAACTAGTGGAAACATACTGGTCCTTTGAGCCGGATGAGTTGCAAAATCCGGAAACTAGTGGAAACATAATGGTCTTTCGAGCCGGATTCAGTGCAAATTCCGGAAACTAGTGGAAACATAAATGGTCCTTCGAGCCGGATCCAGTGCAAAATCCGGAAACTAGTGGAAACATAAATGGTCCTTCGAGCCGGATGCAGTGCAAAATCCGGAAACTAGTGGAGACGTTTAATTGTGAAACTAATCGCGAAGTCGGTACTTAAGAAGTTTGTGGTTGAAGTAAGTTACTTCAAAAAGCGTTAGTGCATAAAGGCAAGTGTTTATGCGTATAAAAGTGATTAATAAAGTGAAGTGAGTTTATGCGAAAAGTGCCGACACCACATCTACTGTATAACACAGACTCAACAAGACACACGGACTCACAGATTCAAATTGAGACTCACGAAAGAGAGACTCAGAGATTGAGACTCAAAAGGATTCACAACATTATTCAGACTCACTTCAGAAATTCAAAACTTTAAGATTCAGATTCGATGTATATAGTGTAAAGGTGTACAGTAGGTGTAAATTCAATATATAAGTCCACAAATCAAACGTCTATGCGTTCTTATCTCAACTAAATGCACTGCTAATTAGTTTTGGTGGTGCCGCTTTATTCTGCCCTACTGATAAGTATCAGCAGGATATTGCCGAAAACGAGCCCTTACAAGGTGACGAAACACATCCCTTACTAGCAGTATTGTTTATAATTTTCACTTAATTGTGAATGAATTAGATAATTTTGTCTTTTGCTTATTAGAGTTATATGGAAAGAAATATTCTCAGTTTTTGACCTTAATCTTTCCATTATCTGATAGCATACTGATTGGGCAACATTCCTAAAGCTAAAACCCTCGAAATTTACTGTTAGATTTGATGCTGTTTGTTAAAACTTACAATAATAAAAATTTGTAGTAGATTTTCTCGAAAATAGCGCATTTCCTACCCCGAAGTGATAGAGATTAAATCATTCTAAATTGGTGATAGTTTCTTCTATCGAGAGGAATACGAACAATTCCCAGTCTCGCTATAAATGTACAAAATTAGCCTCTACTCAAAAGAGGACACGTCCTCGAGAAAAATGCCCATACAGGGTGACGAAGAACTATAGTTTACTTATGGAAATTGACATTTACAACTGCTGAAGTAGGTCATTTTGCCATTTTGAGGTAGAAATAATAGCTGCTGGTTGGTGCGCCTAAACACTGACTGCAAAATTGCTTAAGACACCCTTGGAGAGTATTCGACAAAGTCGAAGCTATTAGAGGAGTGCTTCCAAGCCCTCAACAGATTATCGACCCGGACCAGGATAGTCTTGCTCCGTCTGGATCCCGGGCCATAGCGGCACAAAGGGAAAGGAGCTTGCACACGACCTGGCGAAAGCTGGTGCCCAGCAACCCCTTACTGCCCACAAAACCTGCTGTTGGCATTTGCGGTAGTCTCATCGAGGCATCAAGCAGGAAATTGCGAGATGGACTGCTTTAGAGATGTACTCGAACTGGGAGACGCAATCAGGATATACATGAAGGCAGAGGCCTTCGTCTTTCCTAAGTAAATTCTCATCATCAGCAAAAAGAAGGTCAGGCTTCTAGTGGAAATCCTTACAGGTCACGGAGAAATGGGTTACCAAAGAAATAAACTGGGATTGACCACCAGTTCTTCTTATAGTTTCTGTGACGAAGATTAGATTGGAAACCACTGAACCTACAGGCCTGACGTTCGAAGCTGGCGGAAATTGTAAAATGGTGTAGATGCGCGGTGGTAAGAGTAACCAGTTTTACAGCCCTCTTTCTTCAGTATTCTTATCATATCAATTAAATTGAAAAAATTAACTTATTCGGTTAAAGTTTATGTAAAAAAGAAATAGGCGTAATAATTGAGTTTAATGTGATTTATTTGAATGTTATGCTAGATAATGAGCAAGTAATAGACATACAAACAGAAGAACTAATTGTTGATGCCGGTGACAGTAATATTTATTCCGATGAGGACAGTGAATGTGAAAACTAACTACAAAACAAACAAAAGCATTAGGTTCATTTTTGTACCGAAAGTGAATATAGAATAAATCATCTCTCCAGCTATGTAATACGACTGGGGAACAATTAAAAATATTTAGTATTTACAACAATGGTGCAATAGTAATTGCAAAATAACGACTTTTAAGGTCAATGAAAATTCTTTTCAACCTTCATTAATTTACTGGTTTCTGTTTTGCAATGTTCATAATCTGGCGATCCTATTGATTATTTTTTAACGTATATGGTAGTTAAGAAATGAAAAATATTAAATAGGAAACTTTTATGTTTATTACACTTGTACTATGACGCGTATGTACCTGTAGCACAGAACTTACCATCTAAAAAACAAAATGTATTAACTTTAATTGAAGATGAAATGTCGGTTATTGGTTTTCCTAAATTAAAAAACTTTTAAGTCCTATATGGCATTTAATTCTTAACGTTTTCTTTCGTGTTTGAAAGATTCAGAACTATTTTTTTCATAGGTGTTTAGGACAAAAGAAGTCCCCACAACTTTCTGAGAAGAATAAATATTAAGTATCTTTTGAATTAATCGATTTAAGGTGAAATCAAGTATTTTTATGATACTATTTTGTTTAAATGAACGATTTATAAAATGTTGAACTATTTGAAACGACTGGATGAAACACTCTTTCAATATTGATGTTAAAAAAAGGCCTAGCATTGGAATTCCTTCGTTTTATTTTATTCGCGGCATGCATTCAGAACATACTCTCGCTGTTTTTGTTTTTTTTTTATTCCTTCGCTTAACAGCGTCGAGTTTCGCCGGTCGTAACTGCTTTTACATAGTTAGATTCATGCGAATCGTTGACATTTTACTTGTTGTTGTTGTTGCTCTTGAGTTGCGAAATCGCAAGGCAATGCTACGAAGAAGGAGGTTCGGTTGGCTGCCTCTTATTGCTTTTGATTTTCCTCTTTCATATCGTCAATAAAAATCATCGACAACAAGCTGCCTGACGCTTGGATTTTCGTCCTATTATTGAGCTTAACAGATTGAAAATCTGATTTA